ATAGCCAATAAATGTTCTCTTTCATCGCTGTTTCTCTCTCTCCCTCTCTCTCTAAAATCAATAAAGAAAAAAAAATTTTTTTTTTTATCATTTGACCATAAATATATGGATTTATTTCTGGACTCTTCCATTGATCTGTATTCTATTCTTTTTTTCTTCTTTTTTAATGGGTGAGGCTTAACTTTTTTTTTAATACTCACCTAAGGATATGTTTCTGTTGATTTTAGAGAAGAAGGAAGGGAAAGAGAGAGAAATATAATGTGAGAAACATTGATCAGTTGCCTCCTGTATGCACCCCAACTGGGGATCGAACCTCCAACCTACGTATGTATCCTGACAGGAATCAAACCCACAACCTTTTGGTGTACAGGACAATGCTTCAATCAGCTGAGCAACCCAGCCAGGGCTGATCATGTAATACAGTCTTTGTTATATGTTGCTAGACTTGCTTTGCTAGTATTTTGTTGAATATTTTGTACCAATGTTTCTAAGGGCTATCAGTGTGTAGTTTTCTAGTGATGTCTTTTTCTGGTTTTTTGTGTTTGTTTGTTTTTATTTATTTATTTATTTTAAAACATTCATTTATTATACTATTGGGTTGTGTGGGTCAGGAATTCGGACAGGGCACAGCAGGAGTGGCTTGTCTCTGCTCCGTGATCTCTGGGGCCCCAACTAGGCATCACTCTCTCTCCAAGTAGCCTCTTCACATGATCTCTCCAGCATGTCAACTTCATGGTGGTCAGATTTTAGATGGCAGTGCAGGGGTCAGGGGCATCAGAGATTAGAGTCAGACTTCTCAATGTATTCTTGATGTTACTATTTTGAGTTTTGAATCCTTTGGCTGTATTACTATTACTCGGACTTGCTCTCTCTAAGCTCAGAGGGGAAGCAGCTTGAGGGGCGCTTGAGATATACAGGGAAGAACTGAGCTGTTTGGCACTGGAGAGGGGGCTTTCTCCAGGACAGACATCTGTCAGAGGCCTTTGTTCCTTTGGTGAGCCTTTCCCTGGGGAAGCAGATAGCCGCCATATCTGGGATTCCAGCAACTTGGCTCACACTTGTTTTTTTTAAAATCCTTACTCGAGGATATTTTCCCATTTATCTTCAGATGGAATGGGAGAGAGAGAGAGAAAAAAAAGCCAATGTGAAAGAGACACATTGACTGGCTGCCTCCCGCACGACCCCGACCTGGGATGAACTGCGACTGAGGTACATGCCCCTGGCCAGAATCGAACCCACAACTTTTTGGTCCGCGGGCCGACGCTCTAACCACTTAGCCAAACTGCCCAGGGCTTTTTCTGGTTGTGGTATCAGAGTAATGCCATATAGATTAAGAAAGTGTTCCCAGCTTCCGGTCAAGATGGCGGTGTAGGTAAATGCTGTATCGCGTCCTTCCACAACCACATCAAAGTTACAACCAAACTACAGAACAACCATCATTCAAAACCGCCTGAAATCAAGCTGAATGGAAGTCCTACAACTACGGAATTAAAGCAGCAGCCACATCCAGACTTGTAGGAGGGGTGGCAGCGGCGGCGTGACGGGCTGGTCCCACACCCACGTGTGGTGGATAAAAATCAGGAGGCTCCCGCGGCTGGGAAGGTCCTTCCTGAGGACTGAGGGGTCCCCGTCCCACACCAGGTGCCCCGCTCAGGGTTCCAGTGCCAGGAAGAGAATCCCCATAACTTCTGGCTGGAAAAACCAGCAGGAACTGAGGCTCGGGGAAGCTGACGCGGCTGGAGCCCCAGGCAGCTCCCTAAAGGGCCCGCGCACGGACTTATCAGACTCTCTCCCTCTAAGCTTGGAGGGGAGGCAGCTCGAGGGGCGCCAGAGACATACAGGGAAGAACTGAGCTGTTTGGCACTGGTGCGAGGGCTGGAGAGGGGGCTTTCTTGGGGACAAACGTGCTGTCAGAGGCCTTTGTTCCTTTGGTGAGCCCTTCCCTGGGGCGGCAGACAGAAGCCATATCTGGGTCTCCAGCAACCTGGCTCACACTGGTAGCCCCGCCCTGCTGACTCCCTGAGGCCCCGCCCCACCCCACCCAACTTTCAAGCCCACCCAAGCTGTTGCCACTTGCTTAACCATAGGATTGGCCTCTCTTGGATCCTGCTTCAGGTTTTTCCTAAATTCTTTCAAACGAGCAGCATCTGGTCTCAGCTAGCCCCATACCTCTCGTTAAGTAATACACTGAAACAAACACATGGTGGCAGCCAAAATGAGGAGACAAAGAAACAGGTCCCAAATGAAAGAACAGAACAAAACCCCAAGAAAAGAACTAAGCGAAATGGAGATAAGCAACCTAACAGATGCTGAGTTCAAAATACTGCTTATAAGAATGCTCAATGAACTTAGTGAGAACCTCAGTGAACTTAGTGAGGGCCTCAAGAGCATAAAAAGGACCAGTCAGAAATCATAGATGCACAGTTAGAATTGAAGGAGGCATTAACTGAAATAAAGAATAATTTACACAGCTTCAATAATAGAAGACGTAAATCCAAGGAGCAAACCATTGATTTGGAATATAAGGAAACAAAAAATGCCCAATCAGAACAGCAAAAAGAAAAAAGAATCCAAAAAAATGAGGATAGTGTAAGGAGCCTCTGGGACAACTTCAAGCATGCCAACATTCGCATCTTGGGGGTGCCAGAAGGAGAAGAGCGAGAACAAGAAATTGAAAACCTGTTTGAAACAATATTGGCAGAAAACGTTCCTAACTTGGTGAAGGAAACAGACATACAAGTCCAGGAAGCACAGAGTCCCAAATAAGATGAACCCCAAGAGGCCCACACCAAGACACATCATCATCAAAATGCAAAAGGTTCAAGACAAAGAATCTCAAAAGCAGCAAGAGAAAGGCAGCTAGTTACCTACAGGGTAGTTCCCATAAGGCTGTCAGCTGATTTCTCAAAAGAAACTTTGCAGGCCAGAAGGGAGTAGCAAGAAATATCCAAGTGATGAAAAGCAAGAACCTACAACGAAGATTACTCTATCCTGCAAAGCTGTCATTTAGAATCGATGGCCATATAAAGAGTTTCCCAGACAAGAAAAAGTTAAAGGAGTTCATCACCACCAAACCATTATTATATGAAATGATGAAGAGTCTTTTTGAAGAAAAAGATGAAATATATGAACAAACAAAATGGCAATGAATACATATCTATCAGCAATGGAATCTACAAACAAAATGAACAGGTAGAACAGAAACATTCTCATAGATACAGAGAACATTTTGTTGGTTGCCAGATGGGAGTGGGGTTGGGGAAATGGATGAAAAAGGTGAAGGGATTAAGAAGTATAAATTGGTTGCTAGACTGATGAACCTCAAAGGGAAAGGGGTTGGGGGGTGGGAAGAAATAAACCAAAGAACTTATACGCATAACCAATGGACACAGACAATAGTGTGGGAAAAGTCGGGAGGGGGGCAGGAGTAGGGAGGAGGGGGTCAATGGGGGAAAAATGTGGAATATCTGTAATACATTTTATATTCAACAATAAAGATTTTTTTTTAAAAAGTGTTCCCTCCTCTTCTGTTTCTTTGACAGAGTTTGTGAGGGATTGGCATTAATTATTCTTTAAATGTTTGGTAGAAAAAGCCATCTTGGCCACACTTTTCTTTGTGAAAAGTTTTAAAATTACTTATTCAATATCTTGTTGATCTATTCAGAATTTTCTCTTTCTTCTTGAGTCAATTCAGGTAATTTTTGTGTTTTAAGGAATTTGTCCATTTCCTCTGTTATCTAATTTGTTGGTTTACTGTCATTTATAGTATTCCCTTATTACCCTTTTCATTTCTCTAAGGTCAGTAGTGGTATCTCCTCTTTCATTCCTAATTTTAGTAATTTGAGTGTTCCCTCTTTTCTCCTGGGTCAGTCTAGGTTTGTCAGTTTTATTTATCTTTTCTTTTTTTTTTCCCTTTATCCTCACCAGAGGACATTTTTGCATTTATCTTCAGATAGAGTGGGAGGGAGAGAGAGAGAAACATCGATGTGAGAATGACACATCGACTGGTTGCCACCCACACGACCCCAACAGGGGCCGGGGACAAACTGCAACCAAGGTATGTGCCCTTAGCGGGAACCAAACCTGGGACTCTGGTTCACAGGCCGACGCGCTAACCACTGAGCAAAACTGGTTAGAGGGCTTATTTATCTTTTCAATGAGCCAACTTTTGATATATTGATTTTCTCTATTTTTATTTTCTGTTTATTTCCACTTTATTTTTTTTTTACCCTCACCCGAGGACATTTCTCCATCTATCTCTCTTTAGACAGATTAGGAGGTAGGGAGAGAGAGAGAAACATCAATGCGAGAGAGACACATCGACTGGTTGCCTCCCATGCAACCAGGGCCAGGGACGAACCGCAACCGAGGAACGTGCCCTTGGCCGAAATCGAACCTGGGTCTCATTGGTCCACGGGCCGACTCTCTAACTGCCGAGCCAAACTGGCCAGGGCTTTCCACTCTTTTATCATTTCCTTTCTACTGCTTACTTTGAGTTTGGTGTGCTTTTTTTTCTCCTAATTTTTTAAGGTAGATTAGGTTATTGATTTGACATTTTTTCTAGAATAGCACTTGGAATTGTAAATTTTTCTCTTGACACTGCTTTTAGCTGCATCCCATAAGTTTTGGTATGTTGTGTTTTCATTTTCATCCAACTCAGAGTATTTTTAAAATCTCCCTTGTGATTTCTTATTTGACCCATTGCTTATTTCAGAGCATGTTGTTTTAATTTCCATATATATTTGAATTTTCCAAATTACCTTCTGTTAATAACTTTTTATTTAATTCCTTTGTGGTTGGATAGTATACTTAGTATATTTCTAGTCCTTTTAAGATTATTGAGGCTCATTTTAAATTTATTAAGTCCTAGCATATGGTTTCTCCTGGAGAATGTTCCATGTACACTTGAGAAGAATGTATATTCTGTCTTTATAAGATGGAATGTTTTATACGATGTTTTGTTAGTGTTGTTCCAAGTTTTCTGTTTCTTTTCCCCATAGGCGAGACCTGGAACCCCTTCAAATTACAATACCAGCTGAGAAATGTAAGAGAGCGAATTGCAAAGAACCTAGTAGAGAAGGGCATTCTAACCACTGAGAAGCAGAATTTCCTCCTGTTTGACATGACTACTCATCCAGTGACCAATACAACAGAGAAACAGCGACTAGTGAAAAAACTTCAAGATAGTGTCCTAGAGCGATGGGTAAATGATCCTCAACGTATGGACAAGCGAACACTAGCACTCCTGGTGCTAGCCCACTCCTCTGACGTGCTAGAAAATGTCTTCTCCTCCCTGACAGATGACAAGTATGATGTGGCAATGAATCGAGCCAAGGACCTAGTAGAACTGGACCCTGAAGTGGAGGGGACAAAGCACAGTGCCACAGAGATGATCTGGGCTGTGTTGGCAGCCTTCAATAAATCCTAAAGCCAGCACATGGGTTTCTCCTTTTTCCCCTCCTGGCCTGCTGACTGTCAGAGACACTATCACTGAGTTTTGTGTGATTAGATGTTTTTCATCATTTTGCTTTCCTTCTCTTGAATCAGACTTGTGATTTGGGGAAGCAACTTCAGGGCTTCTCCATAGACCTTGACCTTTATAAGCAGATTTTATTTCTTCCTAACTTCCACTCCACAGGTGAATAAAGTGGATGAGCCCACACACACCCAATAAACATTTTCTCTCATTTCTTAGTAGTGTGCTTTTGGATAAGCAAGATTATTTAAGTGGAATTTGGTGTTCTCCAGCAATAGAATGTGAATGAAATATAGAGCAAACCATTTATTACATTTTTTAAAGTCTGTTTTCTGTCTTAAATACATGCTTTCAGTCTTTGTCTCTCAGACTCTGCTAGATAGTGTAGCTTATTGAAATAATTGCCTCTTTGAATAAGGGTCAATGGAAACAAACTAATTTTTGGAGCAGGTGGTCTCTGGGATTGTATGTCCCACTAGTGATTTTCTCACTCTCTTGTTGTAACCTAATGAGAATATTCCAAATTTGATTACCTGGTTCTCATAGCCCTAGAACCAGAAATACATACATTCTATCCTCTTTTTTAGCATTATCCTACTCCATGATTAGGACAGAAGTCTAACTAAAAAAATATATCTCTCAGCCACCTCCTTCATGCACTCAGCATTACAATTTGTAAGGGAAGGAGGTGGTATCAGAATGTCCACCCTTTAGCACACGACTGTCCTGATTCCTCCAGACAGTTTTCAATCTCTGCTCTGATTGAGTTGACAGAGTTGTACATTTCAATTGCTGAATAGAAATGGCCTAAATCTAGATAGTATATTTAATTAAACTTCAGGCCTTCTTGTTCCCTATTCTTAGCTTTCTACATAAATTAATAGATTCTATCTATATTTAAGCATCCTGGAAATAGTTTTGCTTATATTTAATCCACAGATACCTTCCGTGTCATTAGTCTTGTCTTGACACAGCCATCTTTCTAGCCAAATATCTAAAATGTTTTTCAATTTAGAAGTGAGTGCCAAGAAAAGTTTATTAAGAAAAATCCTATTTGGAAGGTTAATTTGGAGTCAAAAGAATGCTGATATAAAGTTCAGTATTTGGGAATAGAAAGAGGACAGGCACCAAGCTGTGCTAATGGCAGGCATTATGATACTAATACTTGTAATTGATCCTGCCTCTTGACCATTACAGAGAAATAGGCTGTCAAAGGGCTGATACAGGTGACTCAGAGCTCAGGGCCTGGTCCAGTGGGAGGCAACTAATCAATGTGTCTCTCTCACATCCTTGTTTCTCTCTTTTCCTGCCCCGCCTCCACCCCGCTTTCCACTCTAAGAAAATCAATGGAAAAATATCCTCAGGTAAGGATTAACCACCACCACCACCCCCAAGTCGTCCTGATCAGAAATAAATGAATCATAAGTTCCATTTCTTTTCCAAACCTGTTTAGTGCCTCAAAATTGCCCAATTCAACTTTTTTTTTTTTTTCTTCCATTTTTAACTTAAGGTATCACTTAGGTGACTAGAAAAATAAATGTTAACATGAAACAAATTCTCAGTGTGAGATTGAGTAGAACTTTAGTCTGGCTCTCTAAAAACTCAATTACCAGTCCATGTATTGTCTCTAGCTGATTTAGTTTTTCCATTTGAACAATTCGGCATGAATTGAAACCAGGTTTTCCAGTGGAAAGTTTCAGCTTGACTGGGGGGCATGGAAGTTGAATTGAGTTCTTTCTTGCAACTCTTGTTCATGTTTATTTTTATATTGTATTGCGATAAGATGAGAATGTCTTCAGTTTGAATCTGCAGAATGTTCACTGCGAATCACCTCATTTAAAGCATATGGCCTTCACATTTCTGTATAATAAAGATAATTATTGGCTCTCTGGTCTCACTATGTAGTTTTACAACTTCAGTTAATTTAACTGGAAATAACTTTCCACCCAAGGCCTTTACACTAGGATATCAACCTCTGTTTCATCCTGTGTAGAAAATCAGAATACACAAATATTATTATTGTGACATATATAGACTGGGGGACTAACCAGTTTGTAAAGTCCAAATAATGTCTCCATCCTAATAAAAATAAGTTACCCAGCCCTGGCCGGTTTGGCTCAGCGGTTAGAGCATCAGCCTGCGGTCCCGAGAGACCCGGGTTCGGTTCCCGCTAAGGGCATGTACCTTGGTTGCAGTTTGTCCCCGGCCCTGGTCGGTCGTGCGGGTGGCAGCCACTCGATGTGTCCCTTTCACATCGATGTCTCTCTCTCTCTCTCTCTCTCTCTCTCTCTCTCTCTCTCTCTCTCTCTCTTCCTCTCTCTCCCTCCCACTCTACCTGAACAAAAAATGTCCTCGGATGAGGATAAAAAATAATAATAATAATAAGTTACCCAATTATATATCATTATTAACATAAGAGAATGTATATGTTCTTCCCTACTAATATCTACTTGTGAATGACACCTGAATTTATCTAAGAGTTAGAAATCTTTTAAGTTCCAAATGTAGATAACATGTAACTACAACAGAGTTAACGACATGTGGAAAGATAATTGTAATTAGCTTATTTTCCTTTCTTTATAATGTTTATAGAACAAGGAACAATAAGAAATGTAGTTACGCCCTGGCCGGTTTGGCTCAGCGGTCGGAGCGTCGGCCTGCGGTACAGAGAGACCTGGGTTCGGTTCCCATTAAGGGCACGTACCTTGGTTGCAGTTTGTCCCCAGCCCTGGTTGGTCGTGCGGGTGGTAGCCACTCGATGTGTCCTTTCACATCGATGTTTCTCTCTCTCTCCCTCCCGCTCTATCTGAACAAAAAAAAATGGAAAAATGTCCTCGGGTGAGGATAAAAAAAAAAAAAAAGAAAAGAAATGTAGTTACTATCATTGTTTATTCTTCACTGTTATTTTGACTTCAGACAAAACATTGTTTCCATAATTCATTCTTTATACAATGTTTCTCAAAATTCATTGCAAAGATCATGGCACCAAACATTGAAAAAATACTCCGCAAAAATGGCAGGTTTGCACCCTATTTTATGCATTACAATCAAAAGTGGATTACATGAAATCCATTGGTGATTAATTAAGGAGGCAGGAGAAAGCAAGGAGGGGAAACCTCTTTGGATAAAAAGTAAAATGATAGACACATACTTCTTTTACATAGGTGGGTATAGGATACTTAACACTCAACAATTAACGTGATAACAATAACAATGAGGGGATTTGTGGTCTCCCAGTTGCCTGGGAGGGGTCAGGAAAAAGAAATGTACTTGTCTATGAGGTTGGGTGCTTAGGGGGGTTGGGTGCTTAGGAAGCGGCATTTTAAACACAGTCTTGAAAAGCTTGCATGTTAAAAGTTGAGAATGCTGCTGTATATTTTACTGCCTATAATTCATCCAAAAAATACTGAGTACTTACAAATTAAGTGGTACTTGCTAGATGCTGACAATAAAAAGTTGTATAGGACACAATTTCAGCTCCCAAGAACTCACATTTAAGTGGGCCAATAAGATACTGTGTGATAAATGCTCAAATAAAAGTATAAAGTTAGTATTTGGAAGCACAAAGAAGTCACATTCTTACTGGGAATATTAGGAAAGAGAGGAATTATATTTATTTGTAGTAGTTTTCATATATTGAGCAATTTTCTTGTAAGACTCTGCTGACCACTCTATTATTTCATGCATTCCTCACAACACTAAAAACCTTTTAAGTTTATTTTTAAAAAGACTCAAGTAATAGCCCTGGTTACTTTGGCTCAGCGGTTGAGCGTTGGCCAGCGGACCAGAGAGTCCCCGGTTCGGTTCCCGCTAGGGGCACGTACCACCAAAAAAGAAAGACTCCGGTAATGAAGCTTGCCTAACCACGCAGTGCAAAGCTTGAGTTCAAGCACGTGCTTTTAACTGCTACCCCTGCCTTCATTTAAACTCAGTCTTGAAGAATTGTTTCAGATTAAGAGGGAAGAGCTGAGACTATTCTGGGCAGGGGAAACAATATGTACAAAATGATTTGTTATGTGCTACAATTTCATGAATGTGTTTGCTTTTCACATAACTCTAGATTTCCAAAAGATATCATCCTAAGAGAATATGTATATTCAAGTTGTAGACTAAGGAGAGGTATTTGAAACTAGCAAATTATCCTTTTTTATTTATTTTGTTGTTTGGAGAAGGATTTTTTTTTTTTTTTTTTTTGTATGTGCCCCTAGCGGTCGATGCTCCAACCGCTGAGCCAAACCAGCCAGGGCGGGAGAAGGATCTTTTATTTAGTCATTTTTGTTTACAACTGGAACTCTGGGAATTCAAATTTAACGTCCTTGCCCGTGAGCTTCTTATGGACACCAGAAAAATTTCAACCTTGTGCTCCACGTTCTGCTGCGCTTTATCCAGAAGCACCTTGATGAGCCGGCTGCCGGCTAGCTTCTCGCGGACCCTCTTGCCCACAGTTCCACTCGGGAAAACCAAGTCCTCCCGGACGGCGTCCTGCACGGCGGTCAGCGTGCGGCTGAAGGGACAGAGGGACAAGTCAGAGTCTCGGCGCGAGGCCTGTCCGCTGAGCCCAGAGGGCACCTCTGCAAGTCACAGCATGAAAGGCAACTCCAGGTTCCTCCAGGTTCCCCCTCGGTCGCTTCTGCTTAGTCTTCTTCGTACGGCTTTTTCGCGTTAACGTGGGCAGAATTCTCCTCTGAGCCATGAACGCCACGTGCTTCCCACTGAACTTTTTCTCCAACTCGCGAACCAGCCGGACTTGGATTTTCTGAAAGGACTTCAGTTGAGGAACTGGAACGAAGATTATAATAGCTTTCCGACCCCCACCAACTTCTATTTCCTTGGCCGCTGTGATGTTCAGCTCCTGCAGCTGGGCCCTGAGGTCCGAGTTCATCCCCAGCTCTGGAGCCTGGGAGATGCCGGCCTTGAACTCGTCTGGCGTCTCGCCCTTGGGCTTCACGATCTTGGTGCTGGAACTGAACATGGCCTTCCCCTTGGTGAGCGCCGGCCTGAGGAGAGCAAACTATCCTTTTTTAAAGTCTTCATTTATTCCTTCTCTGATGGTTTTCTTTTCTTTCTTTTTTTTTTTTTTGGTAGGTGGCCCCTAGCGGGAAGCAAACCCAGGACTCTCTGGTCTGCAGGCCGACGCTCCAACCGCTGAGCCAAACCGGCCAGGGTTGATGCTTTTCTTTACATAAAACTGAGTTTCTGATCATTTTTCTTCTTTAATAT